TTGATTCGCCTCCTGTCCCGCTACATGCAGAAGTTTTAAGGTTGCTGTGCGCCTGCTCAGGTCAGTTGACTATCTGTTCCCTCTCTCGGCCCGCTTCTTCAGCTTTTTCTAGTTCGTATTCAAGCCACGTCTTGACCTCTTCCTCTGAAGTTCAGAGTTCCAGGGCTATCATTTGCATTGGTTTCATTTGGCCTCTCATACTTTTGAGGACCTGTGTAGCATGTCTGCCTACTATCATGTCAGCAACTTTTAAAGAGGTCACTTTTTCACTGCTTTACGGATGCTCCCTGTCGAGCTCATGAGTCCTTCCTGGCGTGCGATGCTGTTTGCTGAAGCATCTGTTTCCAGAACACTGCTGAGCACAGACTAAGTACTGAAAAGCATCTGCTGAATGCATGAACCGGACAAAGGTATGGTGAAACGCTATCACCATCCCTCCTTTGGATTTCCAAGGGTTCCAAGTTTTAGACAGGGTTGGGATTTTTCCTGGCTCCAGCTGCACAGGCAGGAAGATCAGATTGGCACTTACCCTGTGCCTGTATGACAGTGTACTCTTGGAAAGGCAGTATTTTGCATGGTCTCTGTTCAGTCTGTGCACAGTTATAGGGCAGGGCCCCCCACTATCACCAGCCCAGAAGCTTCTCTTTAGTTTCAGTGGGAGAGGTGGGAGCCTAGATATTTTTTGAGAGTTATGGGTGATTATAATGTCCACCCAAGTTCAAGAGCCATGCTCTAAGTCTGTGCCAGCTAGGGGAGGAGTGGAAATGCAGGGGCAACTGGGAAGTCAGGGAGAGGAATGAGATCGAGACGCACATCATGCCAAGAAACTGGAAGGGAAAAATGGCACAGTACACTCGAGTTTAGCATGTTTCCATAGAAGTGAAAAGCCTTACGTTTTTCCTGTTATGTACCAATAGGGAACCTCAATCGTTAATGATTTAGACGAAAAATCTGGAGGGGAAGCCAACCCAATTGCTCTTCAATTTTCAGGCGCCTATTCCCCCTGTGCAGTCCAGTCCGGAGTCTGCTGCCTGCTTCATTGTGTAGCAATTCAGTGCTTTCCTTCCCAGCCCAGTTCAGATCAGTGGAGAAAGCTTTGATATTGAGAATCGCCACCTTTGTCCGGTTTGCGCTTGATGTCACACTTAATACAGAAAAACATCTGCCAAGACAGAATTCTCCAGTTCCTCTGGCCGGCTTAGAAAACAGCAGGATAAAGATTACACGTTGGGGGTGTCAGATGGCGATGAGGGCGATGTGCTAGCTATGGGATCACAAGGTCTGCCTTCAGAACAGAAGCAAGTCTTCCCCCCTCCCCCCTAGACCTCACTCAAGCTCACGGCCATCAAGTGGATTCCAATTAGAAGTGAGCCGTGGGACAGAACAGAACTGCCCCTGTGGGTTTCCAAGACTGTACCGTGTGAAGGAATTAGGGAGCCCCACCTTTCTCCTGTGGAATGGCTGGTGGTTTCAAACTGCTGTGGTTCGCAGCTCAATGAACCACCACTACGCCATCAGGACTCCTACCCCCTGCCTAGGATGGTACAATGCATATGACATGCCTTGGCAACGATGTGTGGAATTATTATTAAGCAAGAATAACTGTTTTTCTTGCGGCCGTCTGATGTTCTGAAGATCACATCATGATTTTGAGGTAGACTGGGTAACGAGAACCTACTGTTTCCAGTGTTTCACAAAAGAACCTGGGTGCCCTGATGCCATTCAGGGAGGTCTGTCCAAATCCAGTGTAACGGGGGAGCTGGGGGCCTTGGCTGCTGGGGCAGAGAACCAGAGTCAGTTTGCCAGATCTGGCCTCAGGAAGTCCCTAGAGCAATGGTTCTCAACCTTCCTAATGCCGTGACCCTCTAAGACAGTTCATGTTGTGGTGACCCCCCCAACCATAAAATTATTTTTATTGCTACTTCATCACTGTCATTTTGCTACTGTTATGAATCGGGCGACCCCTAGGAAAGGGTCGTTCAACCCTCAAAGGGGTCACGACCGACAGGTTGAGAACTGCTGCCCTCGGGTGTCTGGTTTCAGAGCTGGAGTGTGGTGGGGTTGAGAGGTGCCCTGTGTGTTCTGTCTGCATAGGCTATGTTGTTAAATACAAGCGTTAAATCTTGCAAACAAAACAGAGAAGTGCTCCACATGTCTAAAGAAATGCATAAATTAGCAACATGGAATTCCAACAGGAGTGTCAAGCAGCTGAAAACCCCAAAGAGGGAAGAAAGAGGTGACCCCAGCTGTCCAGAGAGGACCTCAACCTCTATGTGGTCCCAGTGGCCCAGAACATCTCCACAACCACAGGGACAGAAGGAGGATCGTTTTAACATGGCTGCTTTGATTTATGAACAAGACAATTTCACTGCTTAAATACCTTTATTGTTTAAAAAAATTATTCGGACATTGATAGCTCTGCAAAATACTTCTCCCATTCCAAATCCTCAAACCCTTCCCACATGCCCCCCCAAAGAAACAAAATCATCCCTGTGCCCATTCAAATCTAATCATTAAGAACATTCCAAATAAAATCTTTTCTCTTCTCCTGAATGTTAGTAATTTTAAACCACAATACAACATACTCAATGGCATTTCTTTTCCAAAAAATTAGCTTATCAGACTATTTGATGAGGAAAAACAAAACCAACTCAAGGCCTTCGAGAAAACATAAAATCCCTGTCTCTAAAAGCAAAAAGCATCAGAACACCCTGTGCTCTCCTTGAGTTTGTGATTCCAATGTCCCGGACAGACGAGCTTCCTGCTTAGCATCAGGCATTGGGTCATCACGGGTGGAGGGTGGCGGGAACAGTCTAGGTTTGGGGGCTGGATGGGCGGGGAGGAGGAATAACTTGAGCCTGTCCCAAGTGCCCAGGCTGGAGGAACACAGGACGGAAGCTTTCTGAGTGGTGAGGGAAGAGCAGCCAGTCCCTAGGGCTCACTTCCCTTTGGGTCTGTTTGGTCTGAAGGAAGACAGGCAGAAAATAGGCAACCTGTAGTAACTTCTTAAAGATGGTGCAAACGGCAACCAAAAAGATTGCACATAGTAGCACAGGCATGTAAACCACTGAGAAGGTTCAGAAGAGACTAAAAATAACTACAAATGGAGCTAAGTCCACAACGTTTCTTTGGGAACTGGCTGGAAGAAGTAAATTCTCTGAGGGGGCAGGGGGAGGGGGGCCACTGTCAATCTTCAGGGAGTTAGTTATGGAGGGCGTGAAACATACTTCCCTTCCTCCCTAGTCTCGGCTGGCAGATTTCAAATGAACAAAGCTTCATCACAGATGCATCCAAAGATTTAGTAAAGGTAATGTTCTCTCTTGCAACACAACTGGTGCATCTCTTACCTAGCTTTACCCTCTCCCTAAACTGACAACAAACCCCCACATAGGACCTTGTTTATTCCCATTTGGCTAGCTGGACAGCAGCAAACTTGCCCATGCGCCTGCCCTCCTCGGTCCTCAACCTAGCACTTGAAGCCACACATGCATGCCCTCCTCCCCAACCCCCCAGCCTGGTGGTGGCTTCACCCCCCGGGCCGGAGCAGGGTCTGTTTCATTAAGGAGGCTTACAAAACACAGGCGAAGATAGGGACCAGAGTGCTGCCAGTGGGGACTGACATGAACCTAGCTTGCCTGTGTGGAGGGACGAACCAGCACCGCCCTGGCACCACCTGTTCTTACATCCCGCCCTGCCTTCGCCTGTGAACACTGAGGCGAAGTGGGAGGGAGCGCTCTGCCCATTGGTCGGTGTGAAATCAGCCGGGTCTGACCACAGCCGCCCACTGCTGCCTGTACCTTTCAAAATCAAGACAGACCGTGGACTCAGCTCTGGGTGTGGGTGGGAGTTATTTCCCCACCTAGTGCACTAAGGCTAAATTCTAGGGAATCCGAGCCCTGATCTTTCTAAATGGGGTGTGTGCACACTTTTGCGCGACATTTAGATACAGGGGCCCATTGACTATTGTCACCCATGTCTTGTTTAAGCCTTCCTCTAACATTTATTCTCATTCGTATACAGTGCATGTATCATTAAAGGAAAGTCACTTTATTTTAACAAGAACATTTCCGCCCCCCTCTCAGTTCAAATCTAACCCAAACGCTTCGTTTTTTCAGACCAGAGGACAGGCAGCAGTCAAGTCCCTGGGCTCCCGTGGGTTCACATGCTCTTCTGTCTTACAGCTTCCCGGCTTTCACTTGGAGGAAGTCTTGCAAGCCACCAGAAACGGCCAAGCCCTGTAAAGTCCTGCCCGTCTTCAGAGGCTACAACTGATGCCCACCTATTAAGCTTCTTAAACATTTACAAAACAAATGAAAGAGCGCGCACGCACGCACATGCACGCGTGTACACACACACACACACACACACACACACACTTTGGCACATGAGCCTTGAGTTACTTGAGCGTGTACATATTCCTGCCCCTCCCCAAGCCCCAGCAATTCAGAGTCACCATTTCAGGAGAACTTCATTCAGCTCTTTCTGCGAGAAGCAGAAGGTACCATGAAGCACTGCTGTTGTTTTGAATAACAAAAGGAGGGGCGTACAAATGCTACACTGACCCCCCAAACAGCTCTCATGTTGAGTACAAGAATTTATGCAGTGCTTCAAAACTTTTGTACCAGGATGACTAGTTTCAAAACCGCTGGCTGATTAAATATACACATACATATAGATATAGGTATAAAAATTACTAAGTCAACATTTGCTGTTTTCAATGTGAAAACGATAAATGTAATTCTGAATAATTGTGCATTTGCCAAGGTCCTTGTGCAAGGACCATAAAAATAATTTTGTAATAAAAAACTCTTATTTTCATTTAGTATTGCCCTTCAGTTCAAAAGTTTGGAGCAAATGTACTGAGCAGGCAGGACTGGAATTTGCTCCCGCCTGA